TTTCATAACATTATTATCACTATGAATATCATTACTGTTTGTTTATATCATTAGTTTTATAATGGGTTTAATATCATCACTAAAATATATTCATCTTAATAGTTCAATAGGATAGATCCTATTCCAATAGTCAGCTGATACGGATTCCATTCACAGAATTAAACGTATATTATAATGGGTTAACTAATTACATTGGATACTTGACATTTCAAATATCCCATAGGAAAGAATATATAATTATAGTAATAGAAATGAAAAGATATTAAGAATAATTAGAATTGAATAATTAACCATAAAAGGTTTTCTTCTTCCATAATTACATCATGAATAATGTATGAATGATTGAAATAAACAATCAGTGAGATTATAATTTATGGACTACCTATGAGCGACGCTAAACTGATCTTAAGAGTGTTCATGTTATAACTTGTGACCACCGATTAGAGAGCAATGATTTATCGATCGGATCAATAATGTGTAAAACATATGCGAGCAGTCTAGAGTTTTGATTAACCCTGCTTCCTGCCTGGCCCAGCCAGTTAAGTCCAGAACGTTAACCTCAGCCTCTGCGATACGAATCAGGCATTTCAAACATACTCGGTTTATATACCAATCAAACAGACCACAACGTACCAATAAAATATGCAATAACATTTGTACAAGAATTAGCCAGATATGGCTGTGAATGAGGGAGGTTGTAATTAATATACTGGATATAACTCATGAATGGTAAATCGTATAATAATGGTTCATAGATCAAAATAAAGCTTATAATAAAAGGAATATGAATGTGCATGGTTTAGTTACTTAATAATTATACAATAGAAATATACGTTTAATAATGGTCTATCAATAGATTCCAAAAGTTACCATTCATTACGTTTCTCGGGATCTAACAGTTCACCTAATAACGAAAACCAAATGAAGGTTATAAACCAGTGTATGAGGAATTAGAATGATGATTTACACTTGATGGTTAAAGTTTTCATCATGAACTGATATCAGCTATAGTGCCCAAACTTTATTTCATCAAATTGGATGAGTGAATTTCGCGCCAAAATCAATAATCTGCTATCTTACACCTGATTGATTCGTCTATAAATTATAGTCTCATCAATATAATTTGTTGTTATGTCTAATTTATAAAATATAATTACTTCTATCTATTTGGAAATATCAGTCAGTCAGTCAGCTACAACGTAGGACCAGACATATATGTGCGTCGGTCGAAGTTGCCATACCGCATTAGCACAACAAGATGAACACCGAATTCATAGAAGTAGTTAATTCAGTGGTAATAATATATAAAAGAAAGATTGCATATAAGGATATAGTACAGGAAGAAAGATTTAGTTGGTAGAAAGAAAGATATGGAGCGATTTCAACCTCATGGTTTGAGGGAAGATAGAGAGTGTATACACCGACGCCAATGTGGTCGATCTGAGTGATGTTACCCAGAGTCTCCAACCATTGGTTACGATAGTCACGAGGACCCCAGCCAAGTAGCCTGCATCTACCAACATGGCTCAGACTAGAAGTTAGTGACTTCAAGCACTGATGCCACGTTTTGGCCAGTTTGGCCACCCCTAACTTTCTTCCAACCATCTCCAGCACCGGTTAGCATTGCACGTCGTGGTAATCGGTGTTCGGGCATACATAACATGTGGCCCAACCATCTCAGTCAATGAAGATTCACAACCTCATCAACTGATTTACCATCATTATCTGATATCCTGCATCTAACCTCACTATTACTTACTAGGTGATCCCAGCCGACGCCAGCAATATTTCTGAGGCATCTGTGGTCAAATACTAGTAGTTTACGAGTGTCTTTATATATATATACTGATCTATCTAAAATCTGGCCAAACTGACCTACTAAAGATCTTGTTAATAAGTATCAAGAACATGTAAATACTCTTGATGTATTCATGAAATATTTCTGAATGTTTATAACAAAAAAAAGTAAATTTTTGGATTGGAAAGAGGATAACAGTCGAAATCACCTATCAAATGTAAATCTGACAATAACAGAAAGAGATACTATCGGTAAACTACTGGTAAATGCTCAGTGATCTAACAGTTAAGCGTTCACGTGTAAGACCGTTAGTTCCTTGGTTCGAATCTCGCGAGGTCAGATCATGGATGCGTACTGGTTAGAATAGTGGTAGATAATGATTGTTATAAAAAAACCTTCTATACATTATTTTCCTAATATATACAAGTTAATAGATACAAGACAGGAAAGCTAAATTCAGTTCCTAAGCTCTTCATATACCCCACTCAAAAGCTAAATCTATACATCAACATGAACATGAGAAAAAAGGCGAAAAATATGGAAGAAACGCTACACTCCAAAAGTTCGTTTATGTATAAAAGATCTAGAATATTTATAGCATTTTAGATAAGTCATGGACTTTTGGAAAATTCTGGAATGCTACTAAACATAATGTCAGTATAACTAATCATCCAATCAGAAACGTGACATGCCAAAAAGAAGACTGTGAAAACACTGGGAACCATCTTAGCTAATTAACATTCAAGTTATGCAAGAAACTTCTGGAAAGCGAAGAGTCACATGTCACGTTTCTGATTGGATGATTAGTTATACTGACATTATGTTTAGTAGCATTCCAGAATTTTCCAAAAGTCCATGACTTATCTAAAATGCTATAAATATTCTAGATCTTTTATACATAAACGAACTTTTGGAGTGTAGCGTTTCTTCCAGATTTCTTGCTTTTATACTCATATTCATGTTGCTGTGTAGATTTAACCTGAAATTTACTAAATGAGCTTAGGAAACTGAATCTAGAGTTCAATTGTGTTGACTTATCACAGCCAAAGTTCATTAATGAGCAAGATATTTCATAAACAAGAAAAGATATCTACAAATTGTAATAATGGCAAAATAATTCACTTCTTTTTCACTAAAGGTTTACAACATTGTCAGAACGAATATCTAGATTCAATTGTTTAAATTCAATTAGTCAATTTTTAAGCAAAGATGAATAATGGCTAGCAGTGGAATCCAGGACGTGCGTTTCGTCCTATTTGGGACTCATCAGCTGGATGTACCTGCATCGTAGAGTTGATGTTGATTCCACTTCTAACCACTATCCATCTTTGCTTAAAAAATCTTGTGACGTAAGGCTCTATCGAGGCAATTTGCACATGATGCACATATACCAACACGGGATTGATCAATTGCAGTCCTAAATAACAATGAGAAGATACATGTGAAACAACATCAAGTGAATTCAATTAGTCACTGAGTTGACTATTATACAACCAACTGATTGACCAAGTCTATAAACAGATAAATAAGGAATAGAATGTGTATGTGTTTATGATGAATTTAAATACATAAATATTGGTAAAAAGAGGCACCGAATACATAAACGTCACACAAGTCATTTGATTTGTGTGTAAGCTGTGATACTATCCGGGTGCCCAAACCAAATCACGTACTTTTCTTAGGACGCCACACTTGGAGCCTTCGATCTGTAGGTCTAATCCACAGAGCAGTAGAGCAAAGTTAGGAGACGCAGTCCCATGGTAGTCGGCGACCAACGATTGGTTCATACACCATTTGTTCCTCCAGGATCTTGGATCTGATGCTCACCATTATTTTCTAATCAGGGTTTTACAAGTAACTCCACAAGGTGGATCCTCCATATCCACCAACCCGGTTAAAGCACTGAACATCTGGATTTTGTCCTCTCAGTTTCGTGAACAACGGTGCCGACACGAGAATTCTGTGAGTAAGACTTCCCTGATAGTGGTTGTATAAACGTGTTCATATGAGAGCATTTCGAGAGGAAGAGCGGACTTTCTAGATATCGGCCGTACTAAAGCATTTAAGGGTAAATTCACACCAAAATCAATTAAAGTTATAAGGATTATTATGTGTTTAGTTTTTGTATGTATAGGGTTTAATCGATTTCATAATCATTCAAGATGAATAACATGCGAACTGTAGTACAGATCGACTGAAACTGAGAATCTAAACTAACACTAACAAAGTGATAAGATGTCATCTTTGTGAAATATAAAGGTTCTGAAATTAAAATTATTCCAAGTTCTAAGGATCTGTGCTTGATAAGTCGCCAGTTGTGACTAAAAGTCGCATGGTTTTCGTAAGGTTACTCAAAATTACATAAGTTTATTAAGTTGCATAAAATTTTAGTGATATAACTGAACCTTATGTTTGAAATTACTGTAATTTTCCTTATTCTAATACTGTGAAAAGCACAAACGAGTGGAGTTATCAGTATGGAATCGTGAATTATGTTATTTACTTTTTGAGATCACGAACTGAGTCAATTTCAACAGCCAATGTCAACATAGAAGTACTAGACACCCGTTTTATACGCATATCGAACTCTTCAGTGATGCATATCCACGGATATACAACCAGATCTTGAATCTGTAACCTTCAACTTTGTTCACAAACTCTTAACCGCTAAACTACTATGCCAAAACCCAGTGGTGCATGTGTTTAACCCTAGTCAATTCGATATACTGAAGATTGTGTGATTATAGATGTATAATGCTGAGCAGTCTTATACTAAGACAGAACGGCTGTCTAGTGTTTCTAGGTTTTTTAATGATTCCCCTAAACCTGATCGGTTCGTGATCTGAATAAGGTTGAGTTATCATTCTTAATCCGGTAGTTTTTTTCAAGATAACATATTTAGTCAGCTCTTAATGGTATGTAACCAATTTGAGCAGATAATTCAACTTGATCTTCAATAATAAATTGTCCATATTTTTGGTAGTTGTTGGTTAGTAAGGTCTGGGATGAGTACTTCTTAGCTGAGGCTCATCAGCCACCATTGTATATCTATAGTTCAACGCTAGATTTAATACTACTACTTGTGTGACTCATTTCATCACGCTTAAGAATCATGATATTCAATAACGTGTCCAGTGTTAGTATCCTAGATCATAGACGCTATTTTCTTCTGAATTCCTTCTCTTTATTTTTATATATTCAGGCATAGAAGATAAAGAATTTCATTTTGATATATGTCAATTATATAAATCATCTGTATGTAAAAATGGTCAATGTATACCACGTGGGAATACATATGAATGTATATGTAATGAAGGTTTTGAACCGTCAGAAGATCGTAAAACATGTCAATGTAAGTTATCTAATTAGTCTTTATTAATGACTTTTCCTATTCATCAACCTTACAAAGTGTATACTTATTATTCAAAAGTCCATTCAATAGTAAGACAATGTTTAACACATTGAAATGGCCGGTAGCTAACAATGATATTCAAGATACATGTTTCGTCTCATTTGAGACTCGTCAGCTAGATATACCTGTATCATAGAGTTCATGTTCACTTCAGGTCTTCAGCCCAGTATTGTTCATCATCCAACTCTGTAACTCGAAGCAATCCACACAGAATACACCATTTATATGTCAATAAGATTTAAAACCAACTAATACCAATGAATTCTATACAACATTGTTGGTTTCTTTTTTTTCTTGTTGTTGTAGAATAATGATGAAGTGGTATATCTATTAGACAGTAATTGTTAATTATTACAATTTTTGGACACTGATTACCTTATCAGATGTTAAACAAAAACAAAACAGTTTCAGTCCAAGAAAAAAGAAAAAAAACTAATCAACTACAAATAAATTTTTTTTTCGCCTTAGTAACAAAAAATAGTTTCCTTGTTGTTGTTGCTTTCCTATTGATGATGTAGTTACCATGTGTAGGTGAAACATTGAAATCTATTTCACACATATTTTCTCTTATTTCCAATGAAATAATAAACTAGTTATCATTAAAGTAAAGAAAAAGAAAAGAAAAGAAAAAAAGAGAAAAAGAAAAATGACAATGATAATAATAATCATGATTATTTAGTTAAGTTTAATGATAGTCTGTTGGATAAAGAATCATATTCATATTGAACATCTGTTCTAGATTTGTGTAAATAAAGGAAAATTAATCAATAATGAATAGATTTAAGGAATGATTATTTCAACTAAGATTATGTAATAACCAACATGGAAAACTTAGAAACACTGATGGTTCTAAGCAAAAATTGATAGTGGCTAGCAGTGGAATCCAGGATGCGCGCTTCGTCCTGTTTGGGACTCGTCAGCTGGACGTACCTGCATGTCGGAGTTGATTTTCACTCTGAGACTCGAACTCAGTACCGTTCGCCTCAAACGCCATCGCGTTATACAGTTAGCTACTGAGTCTTGATAGACTGATCAATTTCATTCCTAAAACATCAATGGGAAGATTCAAGTAAAACAATATCAAGTGAATTAAACTTCACCCCATTGCACAAGCAAGTGGTTATCAAGACTCAGTAGCTGAGTGGATAATGCGATAACGTTTGAAACGAATGGTACTGGGTTCGAGTCCCAGGTACATCCAGCCGACGAGATCCAAACAGGACGGAACGCGCGTCAAACTGGATTCCACTGCTAGCCACTATCCATCTTTGCTTATAATGCTTGTAAATTAAGGCAATATAGAGGCATACGCACAGTATGCACATATGCCAATAAGAGACTGATCAATTTCAGTCCTAAAACATCAATGGGAAGATTCAAGTAAAACAATATCAAGTGAATTAAACTGGTGGTTCTAGTTTCAATTAACTCATGATTTTAACTATTGAAATTATGATAATATTCAGTAAAAACCCCTTCTGTCTTATATGAATCAACATATACTCACTAGTGACGGTTTTCAAGAGGTATTTTATACAGTTCTAATGAGAAACAGTGACCAGTGGAGTTTAACCAGGTCCATTATGATATAATAGTAACTTACTGAAGACAATAGTGGATGTATCGCTCAGTTTTGTGGATAAGTTGAAGTTAGATATTAACACCATTAGATGCCTATCAGCTCAGTGGTCTGATGGTTAGGCGCCCGCGCGTAAGACTGATAGGTCCTGTGCGGGCAGGTGGATGCGCACTACTGAGGAGTCCCATAATAGGACGAAACCACCGTCCAGTGCTTTCCGGTTTTGTATAGTGTTCTGGCTTCAATTGACTCATGACCTCAACTATTGAAATTACTACAATCTTCACAAAGCCCTTTCTGAATTTAAATCTTTATTCAATGATTTTTAATGTTTCTTAATAGATAAAGTTGATATTTGTTCTGTTCATCGAGGATATTTATGTACTAATGGACATTGTATACCAGCTGGTCGTGATTTCTTTTGTGAGTGTAATCCCGGTTTCACTTTATCCTATGATCGTAGAAGATGTATGAGTAAGTTGATTTATAAGATCTAATTAATTTATAATTATATGTAAATAGTTTAATTGAAAATGATTATTGTCCCTCTATACAATGTCAACAATTGTTACTGGAGTGAGTAGTGAACGTTTAGATCATTCAAGTTATACTCAATATATACTACTAACATACGCTCCTTATTAGAAACTGAAATCCTGTGAAAACTATTTAGTATATAAAGAATACAATTCCCAATTGTCTTGTCGAGGGTATACAGAATTAGCTCTCCGTCTCCGAATGCTCTCACATGGCCGCCTGTATACAGCCACTTTCAGGAAAGTCGTACTCACTGAATTCTCCTGACATTACTGTCGTTTACGAAATTGAGAGGACGAAAAGTGAATGTCCGATGGTTTAACGGGGTTAGTGGATATGGAGGATCTAGATAGGGTAGTTGGAAATCCCTATTTTTAAACCAAAGGTTCACGTGAGCTTCAGGATATTAAAGGAAAAAATGGCGTGTGTACCAATTGTTGGTCACCGACTATTATGAGACTGCGTCTCCTTACGTTGCTTCACTGTCTTGTGGATTAGACTTAGGCTCGGGTTGTGGTCTTCTTAGAAAACCAGCTGCTTCGGTTACGGCACTCGGTCAGTATCATAGCCCTCATACAAATCAATAATAGCTGCTACTGGCTTCATTGTTGCTATGTGGCGCATATCTGTTTAGTACCCCTATGTACCAATGTTTATGCGTTTAAATAAATAAAATAATAAACTTAAAGAATACGATATATTTGTTTGAGTTTTAGTTATAAATACTGATTATCAATAAACATGTCTCTTGTTAAATGACTCAGACTTCTATCTTTATTAGTCACGATAACAAACCCAACTAAACTAGGCTAGTTATCTCAAGTTAAATCACTATGCAAATGTATTCTGATGTCAAATGTTTCAGCAGAAATGCTTTAGGTAACAAAACTTTTAGGATAGAAGATTTACGAATGATTTATGATTTTTCGAAGAATATCCTTTCAGATGAAAGACGAATAAAAAAATCTTAGTAATTGAATTCATGAGCCCATCTAAGGTAGACTACCACTGAAAACATAAAAGCATTGGACATCGTTGGATACCGGCTTAGTAGTCTGGAGATTAAGCGGTCGTGATCGTGACCGAAGGCTTTGGGTTTGAATCTCGCGTACAGGATCGTGGATGCGTACCGCTGTGGAGTCCTACACAAGGACAAAACGGCCGTGCAGTGATTCCAGGTTTTTAATGGTAGTCTAGTTTTAATTGATTTATGAATTCCAATGTTGAATTTATCACAATCACCACAAACCCCATTCTGATAATAACAAAATCCTCATTCTGTATATACTTGGTGAGTATCAGATTATCTCGTAACACACGATAAGTTAGTGGGAAAAGTTTAAAACATTTCAGTCTTGCTTTCAATAAGCAAAAGACAGAAGACAAGTGAAAGGATTACTATTTTAAACACCATCAAATGTGGTACAAAACGTTCAGGTATTTATAGTTTTTTTTTAGTAAAAACGAAATCATCATTATTGTCATCCAATCCGCATACGAGGGGTTATTAGCACTTGTTCAATAGGGATGCTACACGTAGAAATTCTGGAATATACTTTTAAAAGATGATTGGATGGAATATCATCGGCTTTTTATGAAACTCTTAGAGCTTCTTCGAATTCACTCGTGGGTCGTCCTTACATATATACACTAGTTGTTTTGATCAGTTTTTGAACAGTTGAATTATAATTGACAGTGGAACATAAGACTTGAAGGGCAAATGTACTTACATCCCAATGTTAATGTTCACACAAATAACTGAATCTAGTACATTTCATGTTATTAAGTGTATATCCATTTGTTTTTTTGCATATTCACTTATAGGTAAATGTGAAGAATTAGGACCAAGTATTTGTCCAAATGGTTATTGTATTGCTTTGTCAAATGGTGATTATGAATGTCAATGTGAATTAGGTTATCAAAGTACATCGGATCATAAAAAATGTATCATGCAAATGGAAGAATGTGAGTAAATATTTTTTTGATATTTACATTATTCATATTTAAGTAGTGTTTAAAACATCTAGATTCTTATATTGTACTTAAACTTAGGGTAGATATTTAGAGAATAGATGAAATCTGGCTACGATTGGAATCTAGGATGTTCCTTTTGTTCCATTTAAGACTCATCAGCTCGAGTTAACTACATCTTAGATTTTTCATTACACCCGGGGACTCGAAGTCAGTACCATTTGTTTCAAACATCATCACATTATACACTTGATTACTAATGTATCTATGTTCAACTGATGAATCCTAAATAAGACGAAGCAGCATCTTGGATTAAACATATTCCATCTGTTCTATGCTAACTTGTGCCACAATCCTCATAGGATGCATATAAGCCAACTAGAAATGATCAATATGCGGTTGGAATATCAACAAGGGGATAATCTAATCCATTTCAAATTGAAGTAAATATTTATGTTGAAAAATAGTAAAGATTTAGCCTGAACTGAATGTTTGAAATCTCTTATATTTGTTATTTTATAAACTTATCATATGAATGATATCTTGACTGATAAATTTCATCGAATAGTCTTTTATAATCTTAAAACAATGTACGCAATTATAAGTAAAGATGGATATTGACTAGCAGTGGAATCCAGGACATACATTTCGTCCTATTTCGGACTCGTCAGCTGGATGTATCTGCATCCCAGAGTTGATGTTCACTCCGGGACTCAAACCCAGTACCGTTCACTTCGATTACCTTCGGAGGTTCTAAAATCGGATTGCATACGGTGGAGAAAATCATCCACATGGTTCTGTAATAGTAAGCCTCTTGAGCCATGATAAGGTCGCAAAAACTCTTTCAGCCCCGATCACATAGCCTAAATATTGTTTTTGTGTACACCGGTTGTCGGGTCCATAAAATGCCGCTTGCAAACACCGATGTGATGCACATAATCTGCATCTGTACGCTCCCTAGTCATCCGTATATATTGCATTACCTGGCTGCAGCTAATATTATAGGTGCTTTTATTATCCAGTTCTCAATTTGCCTTAGTCTCAATCTGAATCGAGCGAAAAACAACCTATTCTAGCAGACTTCATACGCTGGCACATATTACATCGAAAGATAACATCACCATGTAATCTGCACAAGTCATTGTGATTACAACAATCACACAAAGAATTTCTTAGTAGTCCTATTTGTTTTGGTCCCTCAGTTATCCTCTGTGAACCGATCGTACGTACTCATCAAATACTGAAATTATCGCTATGATCTTGAATTCCCTCAAATGCTTCTTTTTGGCTCATCCATAAATTATAGTCTCTCCAAAAGAGTTTACAGTACAAAATATACAAAATCGTAACAAAATTCTTATTTCATTAGTATTTAATTTGTAAATATCCAAAACTTATGTAGAAAACGTTATTCAACAATGATAATTAGCTTCTATTCATGGATGAATATCCACAACTGTTAACAATCATTCTTGCTTCTATAATATTTGATGTATGAACTAGTACTTCTAAAAGATAGAAGTGAAGAGAAATATACAAACCGTTGTGATGGAACTTCACCAGGTACTGACATCAGCTATAATGCCTGAAATCTATTTAACCAAATGGATGAAAGGCTTTTACATTAAAATTCGAGATCTATTATCTTATACTGGATTGATTGGATGACAAAATATAGTCTCGCCGTTTTATTTGTTATAGCCACTCAATTATCACGTTTTGTATGAAATTCCCTGTGAACCGATCGCACTGAAGTTGGCGCCGTAACCTTGAAATCTTTAGAACACCTCTGATTGACTCGTCCATAAACTAGAGTCTCACCGTAAATACTTCATTTACAAAATGTTAACCATTTGTCTCAGGATTCATTATTCCTTCTTTCCCACATCAATCACTCTCCGATTTTCTTCACCTTCTGCCATTAGGCATTTCAGTTTCTCATTGATGATACATACTACTTATATCTGTTGACATCAGTAGTAAACACGACAGTTGATATTCTATTGTAACTGGGAATTTTTATCTAACTCATCTAAACTTGACCTTATTTAGTTCAATTAATAAAATCACTTCTCATATTATACTCCCAATTTTGTTTTTCGTTATTCTTTTTTATTTTTTTTTCGATGAAGCAGCTAATTCAAATGTACATTTTACAAAATCTGTTCAATATTACAAAAATAGTTACTATGGTAACAAAGAAAATGAACCTTATGAAAATCCAATAGAAATGAATAAACCACAAATTGATCATTCTGAAGTTGATGGTTAGTTTAAAAATATGTATATATGTGTATATGATGAGTTATTTGAATTTTGAATTATATATATATAAATTGTTTAGTTGCTTACAACACTTTGATTCTGGCACCCAAATCCAATAGTGAAGTTGAGGGTGGGGAGTGTTAGCTCACTCTTTCGAAATATTCCCACATGGCAACGCGTATACAGTCACTATCAAGGAAGTCCTATTCACTTCCTTCTCGTGTAGGCGCTGTTGTTTACGAAATTGAGAGGACGGAAAGTGAATATCCGGTGCTTTAACCACGTTGGAGGACACCGAGTGTCCACCTAGGGAAGTTACTGGGAAAACCCTGATTCTAAAATAATGGTGCACATGAACTCCAGGATCCTGAAGGAACAAATAGCGTATGAACCTAATTTTGGTGACCGTCTATCATGGGACTGCATCTCCCTACGTCGCTCCACTGCCTTATGGATTAGATCTTCAGGTTGAAGGCTCGTGGTGTGGACCCCTAAGAAAACCACGTGGTTCAGTTTGGTTACCTTAGCAGTATCACAGCGCATACACAAATCATGTGTACATATGTACATTTTGTATCTGATATATTTTGGAAGTATCTAAGTTACAACTAATTCACCATTTTAACATATAACATTGTTTGATTCACTTGTATTTGACTTATTTTCAGATCATTGTCATACATTAATGATGAACTTGTAACTGTTAAGTCGATTGATGAGCAACTATTCACTCCGATATTTCTTATTTTGGATACCTGTATGATTAAAATAGCTACTAATAATGATATTGAGATAGTGTATGTATCCGTGAATGTGTAGCGAATTCACTTTCTAATCTTTAATATATCCCAAAACTAACATTAACTAACTGATTGCGCATTATAAGAGTATAGTTTTAACGATGGAATTCATTTCATCAAGCTTTGACTTTCACTTTTTCTAAGTTTTTCATCAACCAAGTTTAAACACATCACAGTGTCATGTTCATAGAAGATATACATAGATGACTTTCGATGGATACAATCGAATCTTCAGTGAAAATCAAACTCTTATATGTGTCATTCATCCATTGAATGAACGTAAAAATATTTGAAAACTGCTAAAGATTGTACTTTGATTGAACGCTAACAGAATAATGATTGTCATCACACATTATATTTATGTTCATACTAACCTGAGACAAATTATAACATCATTTAGTAACCACATTTAAAGCAAAGATGGATAGTGTTTAGCAGTGAATTCCACGACGTGCGTTTCATCCTGGATTCCACTGTTAGCCACTATTCATCTTTGTTTAAAAAGCTTGTGACTTAAGGTTGTATCGAAGCAATCCGTACAGGATGCACATATGCCAACATGAGACTGATCAATTGTAGTCTTAAATAAAAATGGGAAGATACAAGTAAAACAACACCAAGTGTATTAAGTAACCACTTTTTTTCAAATTCTTATATTAAAATCAATATGGATTGAATCTTGGAAACTGTATGCACACTGTTGATATGTCTATAATGTTGTTTTGTTAAAAAAGCAGCTATTCAGTATAGAGGAATATAAATAAACGTGAAGTCTTTCTACACTAGCGTTAAATTGCTTGTTTCAGAATTACAGTAGTTGAGATCATGAGTCAGCCCCTTCTAATATGAATCAATATATGCTCACTAGTGACTGGCTTCAAGAGGTATTTCCTGGAATTCTAGTGAGAAGCAGTGGTCAGTAGAGTTCAATCGTGTCTGCTGTAAGATAGTAACTCACTGAAGACAATAAAGGATGCATGGCTTAATTTTGTGGATAAGTTGGAGTTAGACATTAAGATCATTGGATACCGACTCAGTGGTCTAAAGTTTAAGCATTCGTGTGCCAATTATTAATTACTTAAGCCTGTCATCCCTCGTGGAGGAGAATAGGCCATCCACCAGAATTCCACATTCAATCCTTTCTATTTCTTTCCAGTTGCTATTCATTCTTTCTATGTCTGCTTCCAATTCTCGACGCAGTGTGGCCCTCCTCTTTTCTGTTTCCCTTCAGAATTCCAAGTTAGCGCTTACCTCGTGGTGCAGTTTGGTGATTTCCTCAATATATGTCCTATACACTTTCAGCGTCTCTTCCTGATTTCGGCCTCAGTTGGAAGTTGGTTTGTTCTCTTCCACATTAGGCTGTTGAGGATAGAATCCGGCCAACGGACATTCAATATCATGTGTAGATAATTGTTTATAAATACCTGTACCTTAGTGATGACCGTTATAGTAGTTCTCCGAATTTGAACTCCATACGTTAGATCTGTTTTGATGTTTGTATTGAAAATTGTGACTTTGTTGCTAGCTGACAGTTGTTTTGAGTTCCACATGTTCTTGAATGATAGAAATTCTTCCCTTTCTCTAAAAATTTGTACCTTCTCATCTACATCAAATCCTCCTTGGTTATCAATGGTGCTGTCCAGGTACGTAATACTTCTCACCTCTCTTAGAGCTCCACCACTAAGTGTAATTTGGTTGATGCTGGTTGTGTTGTATTTCGAGATTTCGGTTTTTCCCTTGTGTAGGTCGAAGTCTATTGCTATAAAGTCTGCTGCTACACTGGCTGTCTTCATCTGCATTTTTTAATGTATATGAGATAAAAGAGCTAGATCATCGTCTAGCCGCATCCAAACTATCAACTGTATTTTGTGCTTCGCCTCACCTTTGGAGGTCTTCATAATTCAATCAGTCACTGGAAGAAAGAGAAGTGGTGAGAGTAAGCATCCTTGTCTGAAACCGGTCCCCACTTGAAACGAGTCTGTCAGTTGTCCTCCATGCACCACTTTTCAGTGTAGTACATCAATATGAATTCCAGATGATGTTGACGATTTTCTCAGGCACTCCTTAGTGTCGAAAAAGTTCCCATAATGTCCTCCTATCCATACTGTCAAATGCTTTTTCATAATCAAGGAAATTGATGTCTAATGATGAGTTCTATTCAACTGATTGTTCAAATATGATATTCATATAAATTTCGTTATTCAATTCATTCATAATCAAATGAATAGGCAGAAGGAACTTTATTCCATATTCCAATCAATTTATATTTAACACAAAAAACACTATCGGTATCAAAGTCAAAGTTTGACTTGAGTATTGGGTGACAAAGTTAATAATCAATAGATGATTTTGTTATATCTTAATGAGTAGAAACATTGTATTTTTGATGATGTTTCGTAACTTCATATAACCCGCCTCTTCAGAGTAAACAAATAAATAATCGAACATTAAATGAACAGAAGTTCAATTAGAACAAAAGAAACAATACATAGAATATTTTTGATATAATTGTGATGTGAGCTACTTATATCCACATAATTAGTATATAACGATAGTCAGGAATAGAATGTATTTCAGTAGAAGATCGAAAAGGAAAGTAATGATTATTAAAATGCACGAACAGTGAAATCTGAGACAATTGACTGAGATTTTCAAAGGGGAATCGTAAAGTTTGAGACAATTAATTGATATATTACAAATTAACTATTTACTTTATAGTTCTCAGATTCTAGAGAGATATTCTGTACATTCAAGTACATTTGTGTTGTGACTTTATGACCCGCTAGTTATTACATAATTTAGTCGCCAATCAAAATACGACTTATTCGCTCTTGTACTGTACTAAATCAATGATGTTCGTCCGGTTTCATCAGCCTATCATTCTATTGGTCCCTTGCTCGCCTAGCACGTCCAGTTGAGTCCAGAATGCTAATAACAGCTTCCACTATGCGAATCATTTATTTCAGACATACTGGGTTTATATATCAAACAAACAGACCGCAACGCACCATAAAATAGAAAATAACATTTGTACACAATAAAGCCAAGAAGTGGCTGTGAACGTGGGAGACTGTAATCAATTAACTGAACATACCTTAAGAATAGTAAATTGTACAAGAATAATCTATATGTCAAAATCAAGCTTTTAATAAGAGGAATATAAATATACACAATCCGATTGTTCCCGCTCGTGTTCTTGTTCACTGCATTGTTTTTTTAAAATTTATTTTAACACATGGATATCGGTACAAGGAGGCATCAAATACATATGCACCAAATAGATCTCATTTGATATGTGTGAGGGCCGTGATACTGTTCGGGTGCCCAGACCGAAGCAGGTGGTTATCTTAAGGAGTCACACCCTGAGTCTTCGACCTGAAGGTCTGATCCACAAGGCAGTGGAGTATCGTAAGGAGACGCAGTCTCATGGTAGCCGGTGACCGAAAATTGGTTCATACGCCATTTGTTCTCTCAGGATACTGGAGCTCATGTGCACCATTGGTTTGGAATCCGGTTAAAGCACCGGAAATTCGCTTTTCGTCTTCTCATTTTTGTAAACAACACACCCGCCACGAGGAGGTAATGAGTAGGACTTCTCTGTCAGAGGCTATATACGCGTGGCCATGTGAGAGCATTTCGAGAGATGGAGCGGACTCTCCCCACTCTCGGCAGTACCAAGACATTCAGGGCTGTAACTTAATTACAATCATAATAAATCTGAACATGTCCGAAGAAGTAACTTGGCTTAAGTGACGAAACGTCGTCAACAATACAATTTTCTTACTCATTAGATTATCACAAAAATATAAACTATGATTTATGAAATAGTTTTTTATTTAAATATAATATATGTATGTATATATGAATATGATACTCATTTCTTGCCAAGTCTATTATAGAGTATTTGTAATATGGCAAGCAAAGAATAGATAAAAGCCACATAGAAAACGGTAGTAATAATAATAATAAGAAGAAGAAGAGAAAAAAGAAAAAGAAGAAAAAGAGAAAAAAGAAAAAGAAGATAAAGAATAACCTAAACATTTTGTCTATTAATTCAATTACATTTTTTTCTACTCTTTTCCATCATCTGAAATACACAGAATGCCAAAACAAAAACAAAAAAAAGAAAGAAAAAGAGAGAAAAACTTAGAGAAAGAAAATATTACAGGGAAAAAAATATGATAATAATAATTACATTACTAGTAACCTTTTCTTACAATAATGATTATTGATTAGATATTACTTATTATTACTATTATTATTATTATTCGTATGGTTTGTTGCCAAGTTAACAAAAAGAAAGGGATGATGTAATGATACCTGTTTTAAATACATAACTATTCACATATGTATATAGAATATTGAAGAATGATACACTTACCTTCAATATACACTTGTACAAAACATAGGGATATGAATGTAAAATAGGAATAATAATAGTAATAGTAATGGTAATAATAATAATAATAAGAAGAAGAAGAGTAATACTACTTTAGTATGACCCCGTTCTTTCAAGTAACTTATCATATAAATCACCATTATAAGTTCTAATCTAAGTACATAGATAGATATATATATAATAATGAGAATTTCATGTTTCCCATTTTTTATTCCCTAGCAAAAAGAGAATGTGAGAGTTAGTATTATGATTATCATTTTATAGTTTTGTACTAAAAATTATACATTGATATGAGGTCATTCCAATGGTTATCAGTATAGGGGTTGTGAAGATTATGAAGTTTCTGATTAAAATCATGAAATGATTGATGTTAGATCATCATTGAATACCTGGAAGCATTGGATGACTGTTTTTGTTCTCCCCAATAGTGCTCATTCACTAATGACTAGGTTTGTGAGGGAATTCTCGTAGTTCTAGTGAGAGGTGGTGATCAATGGAGTTAATCCGTTTCGGGTAGAGACAGGTGTCTACGTCAGTAAAATGGATGATGGTCACGCAATTTCGTGCATTGGTTGTGGTTAGACACTAACACCATTTGATGCCGACTCAGTGGTTCAGTAGGTTGAGTGTTCGCGCACGGAACTGAAAGTCCTGGGTTCGAATCTCGTGAATGCACACTGCCTTGAGGATCCCACACTAGGACGAAACCATCGTCCAGTGTTTCCAGGTTTTCATTGGTGGCCTAACATTGATCGCTTTATGATTTAAATTACAAAATCAACAATCTCTACAACTCTACACTGATATTTCACCCTGTTTGAGAACCTTTTTCGTCGGTTACTACTTATGTTAAAAGCGATGGTATTAAAAACAGGAAATAGCTAAATGAAATCGAGCATGTACGATTGGTAGATTTCAACCAATAATTTGTTAGGAACATCTTTATTTGTTTTGGAAATTACAACGCCATTTGTTAGAATGCCTACAAAAGGTTATAGCAATCATTTTATATCAATATTGTCAATAAATGAAAGGTAATCCATCCATTTGATACATCCATAATCTAAGAAGTATTAAGATTTAGGTAGTTTATTTGATCACTTCCCGTCATATTATCATATCAGAATCAGTACAAGTCTACAGTTAAGATGATCACTACATGACATTTAATAATCTAACCTTTAACTGAAACAAATAATTGTACTTGGTAATAAGAATTAAACTTAATTATAATTACTCACATAGTATAATAGAAGATACATAGAAACATTATACATATGAACATAGTTACCCGTTCATAGATTGGTAGTCAATTTAAGACAGGTCGAACTATGGTTAGATTGAATCGGTGTGTTGAGCATTTCAACAATAATGTGACTAATCAACTATTTGGTTGATGATTATAACTAACAATTATTGGTATACTGTCGGTCTCGGACTTTTGATATGGTATCGCAGAAGTCATAAAGAAACAAAAACGTTTTAAAATAGTGCTTACTTACTCCTGCTACTCCTCGTGGAGGAATATAGGCCGCCTACCACCACTTTCTATTCAACCCTGTCCTAGGCAATCCCTTTCAGCTCTTTCCAGTTGCTGTTCATCCACGACGTAATGTGCTCGTTGGCATTCCTTTTCTTCATTTCCCTTCAGGATTCCAAGTTAGCGCCTACCTCATGATGCAGTTTGATGATTACCTCAATGTATGTCCTATCCACTCCTAATGTCTTCTCCTAATCTCCTCCTCAGTTGAAAGCTGGTTTGTTCTCTCCTACAGAAGGCTGTTGCCGATGGTAGCCGGTCAACGGATATTGAGTATCTTGCGTAGACAATTGTTTATAATTACTTGTACATTTTTGATGGTTGTGGTAGTTCTCTACACTTCAGCTCCTTACAGTAGAACTGTCTTGACGTTCGTATTGAAGATTCTGACTTCGATATTAATTGCTTACAGTGCCATATGTTTTCCAACTGTAGAAATACGGCTCTTACTTTGTCAATCCTTGCCTTCACGTCCGCATCCGATCCTCTTTGTTCATCGATGATGCTTAAAATTGTACCATTAAGTTAGTACATTTGACCATTGTCTCTTACAACTAAACAAATAATAACTCATTTCCACATTTATTTGTCTAATTTTTTTAGATGAAAAGTCATATAACTGGTGGCAAAGTGACAGTTTATCAAAGAAACAACATAAATCCTATTCACAGTGTAAGTTTATCTCTGTTATATTAATCTACACACACTTTTCTTATAGAATAACGTATCATCTTACTGAAAGTTAGTGAAAATATCTTGTCAGATATGTGTCTATGTTTCTTCGAGATGATAATAGATGACATTCATCAATGTATGATTAAGTATACTTAAATTCCAAAAGGTCTGTCTTTTTGTGTGATATAATCAGGATTCCAGAAGTAAGGACCTTTTCATATAGTCTTTCGATTCCGGTCAAAATAATAATTCATTGTTACTGCGGTGTTCCAGTGATCTAAGGTTGATGAAACTTCACTCAGTAAAGCCGATTGGCTTATCTGGATTAGAATCCGTTTTCTGAGTTTCATGAACCCACCGCATGGACGTGATTTCGAGAGGACATCGCTGGAATCCCCAACTCTCGGCGCGCAGACGTCGCATCAAGGACAAGTATAATCTATAAGGATGCCAGTAAGACATGAATTTTCACCAATCTATCTCTTGGCATGCTTATACGTATACTTACCGTCTGTGAGAACATACGTTACATGAATACCGCTAACATACAAGTTTTCACTCATGCATCCCTTAGCATGCATCTATGTATATTCACCCACCTGGGAGGGTAGATGTTCACCGCTCCTTTTGAACGTAATTACCACAACTGTCTCTTACTTAATACATGCGTATCAGTGGTACAAACAGTTCCATAAATGCAATTCATGATATACACACAAGCAGTGGCACTTTATCAGGGAGAGTTGGTGGTCACTTATCCCTATTATTTGTTATCCTATATTTTATTATATCTTCGATCTACTGTATTAGATCGTTGATTTTAGTAGACATATGGCAGACCTTTTTTGAGCTTACATTCCTTGTGCTAACCCACGCGCACACCATTTGCATGCACCTACAAACATCATATACACAAGCGGAGACTTGTGGAACTCATATTTATAAACACGCGAATCGGGCAACACGTCACGATTTTAAAACCTTAAAGAATGAGATCCGAGTAAAGCAATTTCAGAATAGAAGTAGTGGATTGGTCTGATCTCTGTTGACCGCCCAAATTAGGTGGCAATGTTGACCTCACTATCCAGCAGAACCACATGGAGGCTTTGAGTAGGATTTTGCATACTTGATAGGACGTGTCTTGTGCTACTGAAATGAAAGTAAGTAACATAATGATTGCTTACTCAATTTCATGCTTGAAATTAGTGATGATAAGCATAAATTATGGAAGTACTGTAGTGAACAGAACACGGATGCGGACGATCGAATGTGCTCAACACAAGATTACAAGACTTGTTAATTAAATCTAACAATCATACAGTAAATGCTTAATTTGCAAAATGTCCATCAATTGTCTCAAAATGACTCAGGCTTCATTGTTCTTGCATTTTCATACAAATTGCATTCCGTTTCCATTCTTTACTGTCCGATCCTCTTGTCTCTCTCCTGCCAGACCTTCTGTTCACGACTAACATCATATACTACTTATGTCGATTTAAGTAGCACACACCACAGTACCACTTTCCACAAATTTAAAATATTACATAAGCCTTCACACTATTCAAACGAAATGCGCTAAACTATTAATTCGGAACAATACAAGCATTTCGATTTCTCTAGATCATGAAGAATATTTGTAGCTTTGAATGAGAAGGTTGAACTCGTCAAGTTCTCTGAGCTGGATGATTTTATTGGATTTGTTGCGCCAACACAGCTTACTTCTTGGCTACTTTATTGCAACTAGACCATCCAATTAAAAAACCACATCTCTAAATTTATAAACCTTTTTTCCAGTAGGTTAAGCGTTCGCGCGCAAGGGTGAGGGCCCTGGGTTCGAATCCCGCGAGCGGGATCGTGGATGCTCACTGCTGAGGAGTCTATAGAACGAAACGGCCGTCCAGTGCGTCCAGGTTTTCAATGGTGGTCTAACATTAATCATTTCATGATCTCAATGAAAAAACTTAAAAATCTCCACAACCCCTATACTGATAGTTAAGCATTTCAGTTGAAGATGCTTTGTAAGGATAGCTTTAATTTATAGTTTATAGCTTAGGAACTAATAAAACTCCGAGAAAACTGGACACCTGCCTCTCCCTAGTGACGTTCACATCAGCTGTGTACGCTATTGAATATTCTTAGAATCAAACCCAATACCATCAGATTTTGGTAGGAACTCTTAACTATTGGGACCACTTGAGCAGTATCATTTCCAACTTCAATGAACTTGTGATATGTGGGGGGTAGTAGTAATAATAGTAGTAGCCCTGATCCATTTATAAGAATGCTTGCTTACTGATTTAAAGTCACTAAATGTGATCAAGTAGCTATTTATTACCTCAAAATTCCCATAGATTCTTCAACTATTCACAATCGATAATGAAAGACATCTACGGATTGGTAGATTCTCATTCAATATATTATTTAATTTAAAGATATTAACACCGCTGGGTGCTGGCTCGGTGGTTTAGTTGGTTAGGCGCCTGATGCGAGACTTATAGGTCCTGGGTTCGGATCTCGTGGGGAGTGCGATCGTGGATGCGCACTGCTGAGGAGTCCCATACTAGGACGAAACGGCCATCCAGTGCTTTCAGGTTTTCCATGGTGGTCTAGCTTCAATTAACTCATGATTTCAATCAGTGGAATTTCCGAAATCTCCATAAAAGCCCTTCTGATATTTGAGATTAACAAAGAGAATAAAATAAAAGGATGCAAATGGTCTAGTTTAGTTAATAGTTCAAGAATGTAATCTATTATGTAACTAATATTACATATCTGATTTCAAATGCAAATATCAACAATTCTACACACACACACACCTTTCATACCATGACATTTAATGTTATCATTGCATATTATCATCGTTGTTAGCATTACATAATAGTATTAAGGATTATTTGTTGATGATCATGATGATGATGATGATGATAACAATAATAACATTTTGCTAATGAGAATAATCAAGATATCTGTTCTTATCAAATGTGAATATTTACATGTATGTATACACTTGGTATGAATAGATTCAGTTAAAAGTCACATTGAATGTTACATACTTAAATGCAGATTAAGCAAAGATAGATAGTGGCTAGCAATGGAATCCAGGACGCGCGTTTCGTCCTATTTGGGACTCGTCAGCTGGATGTAACGGTATCTCAGAGTTGATGTTCACTCTGAGATTATTATTGTTTAGTAGTGATGTCATTGTTTAGTTCTTTATTTAAGTGGATTATATTCAAGCACTTCAAAATAAACTAACCTAAAATATGATCATCACGTGTAGAGGTGGAGATTTTCAACACTATGTGGTTATTGGTAATACTGTTTAGATTTATAAATTTATTAATGTAGAAATGATTTATTTGACGATTGTTTGAAATAGAACTTTAGTGGGGCCCTTCATTTTGGCGTCAATCAGATAGGACGATGCTATCGATGGGCTCACCAATTTAGTGGCTTGGGCTCCGACTCCAGTTAGATCGTATGAATGATTATTAATGATAATATATATATACATCGTCAATTCTCGTGTAAAATTATCGACTTAACTCGCGTTAGTGAATAAGGAAATTAAATAAGTCAAATACGAGAATGAATGTTTGAATACGTATATCTTGTACACTCATTGATTGAAACAGACATTCAGAGAATCGCAGCGAAGGAAGCGAAGATGAGAGAGCAAAGCGAAACAAAAGGATACGCAGTAGAGAAGGCATGTGAGCCAACTCCGTTTAATCAAACATTAATCAATGTTTATAGTTACACAAAAGTAATCTACGGACATAGAATAAACTATGTAGGCTTAATAATAACAACTGACATTACAGATTGGTCTATTCACTGTTTGTTCATGTCGACTTGATCCTCCTTTACTCTTAAAAAAAATAAAACAATCATCATACTAAATAATAAATATATTTAAACTTGTGTTCATTTAATATCGATTATTGATTTATTCTGAAGAAGTGACTTACTTGAAGTTACGAAACGTTGTCAGAAATACAATCTCTCTACTCATTGGGATATAACAGAAAAATATTAACTTTATACCCAATGCTCAATTTATTTGGAATTATCAAGTCAAATCATGCCATTGGCAGTTATAAAATCATCGTATTTCATGATATCAGAACCGTCTTCTATTCGAGAGCATGACTGTACTTTAGAATGTTTTATTACGGAATTATACGCCAGAAAAGGTTACAAACATCTTGAAAGTTCTGTCAATATTTCACAAATACGTTGGATTTTTATTTTTTTAACCGATAACATCCTGGAAGCAGCTCTGAATGAAGTATTGTGATGATGATTCACGGGTGAACTTGAGGAAGCTCAGAGAGAGCCGAAGATATTCCATCCAATCATCTTCTGGAGGAATATTTCAGAATCTCAACGTGGAGCTTCCCTATTGGACAAATGCTAATAAGCCCTTGTATGCGGATTGGATGACTATAATGATGATTTCGTTTTTACGAAAAAAACTATACCTGACAGTTGTGTACTGTAAATGACACTGTTTGGGATAGCATTCCTTTCACTTGTCTTCCAACTTCTCATTTGCAACGTGAAAATGTTCTAGAGTTTTAGTGCTCAAGTTATACGCGGTATATCAAGAATCTAAGCTCTTGATATAAGAAGTATATGGTAATGTCGCGTTTCCAATAATGAAGGCAGAATTGATGAAAACTAACAAGTGGATGATAATACGTTTCTTTGAGACGACTCACAGTATATCTAATCAGTTAGCAATAAAAAAGATACACATATTAAGATTGACGCTTATTTACCCGTCATAATTTCCCGAATGGGGTCTTAAAAATCGTTTGATTGTGCTACTTTAGACGTTATCAAGTATCGTCCTTGATATTGTTTTTCACGACATCCTTCATAGAAGTGAAATGAATCCCATTAAATGATAGAAATCTTCCTCGGTCATAATTCTGATCAAACTGCATTGTTGTTCATTTTAAAAAACACTACTTACTGATTTTGCGATCTGTTCTATTTCTCTATTATAGGATCATTTCATTTGGGGGGTTTATTATTAAAGCGCACCCACATAGTAACCATAATTATATTTAATTTTTCACTTTCTAATCTATTTCAGATTCAAATGAATACTTATTAGAAGTTGAATAGTTCTTTGATTCACTAAAACCACTGCATTACTTACTCGTATATCCTGGAACGATCGATTAGGTAATGCAGTTGTTAGAAAACGGGTACTAGGTAATGATGGCGAATCGATTGATGAAGTAGTGAGACGTCATCGTATGAGATGGTTGGGACACGTGTTACGTATGCCCAACCACCGACTGCCCCGACATGCTATGTTTTCTGGTGTGGGAGTAAGTTGGAAAAAAGCTAGGGGTGGCCAAAATAAAACATGGCACAAATCTATGAAGTCACTGACACGTGAACTGAGTCATGTTGATAGGTGTAGACTACCTGGTTAGGACCCGCGAAACGATAGCAACCGATGGTTAGAGACCTTGAATAACATGGCTCAAAATCATTTGAGATGACGCAGGTGCATCCACTTTTTGTGTTCTCCCAAAATTCTAATCTTCTGAATTCTTCATATCCCTGGATTATACGCCTTGAATAACATCTTCAAGCCCTAATCTTTCTGATTACTGCTTATACTTTTATTACCTCTATCACTATGGGATTTGAATCGACAATTGTATCTCTGTGTTAATGTGCTATGGCAACTTGAACTGATGTACGTACGTACAAAGATCTACGTTGTTACTGACTGACTGATTGATTGACTGAAAACCATTTGTAGTTTGTAAAATTTTGTTCTCACTCTTAAACAAAATACCTTTTTCAATTTATTCTCTTAGATAAACAACAAGACTCATCAGATGTATTATATAAAAAACCTAAACTATTGCATTTACGCGGAACAAGTCTTCGATCAACACCATGTGGTCAAGATGATATTGTAAAGAAATGCAATGGAGGAATTTGTTTAAATCTTGGTGGTGATGGATATATTTGTGAATGTCTACCCGGATATTTAGCAATTAATGGAGGGCGTGCCTGTGTAAAACATAAAGGTTTGTAGCTACTTATAATATTTCTAATCTGATTCATCAGAGTTCTTGGTACCTGTGTGATTACTTCACAGGATTATGCCTTTTCAGATTTTAAAAAGCCTGGTGTGTCTAGTTCTCATGCAACGTATTGTAAAATTACCGCTTTCAAAGATGTACTTATTATTGTACATGGTGAAGTTATGATCTAATGGTTAAGGCTTTTGATTTCAGCCGTAAAGTCTTAGATTTAAACTCCTCTCCACATATTTCACCTTGGCCAAACGGCTAGTAACATTATTTCTCATACTTAATATAAGTTAATGGCTAATACGTAATGTAAGTAATTTTTCTAGTCAACAACCCACAGTTAGTATAACCTCACTCCATTACTAAGCAGACCGTAAAGTGCTAAATAATTGTAAATAGTTTTAAGTCAGCTTTCAAATAGACAACTAGTGTGGCATCAGCCTCTGCATCAGTAGGCTTCGACATACACAAAGGAAAACTCACGATCCTTAAATACAACATGGAGGACACCAATCTAATCACACTTGATAGCGAATGTCTGGAAGATGTAATATCCTTCACGTACTTGGACAGAATCATCGATGAACAAGGAGGATCGGATGCAGATGTAAATGCGAAGATTGGCATTGAAGAACATATGGCACTGTCAACAACAACTTTCAACCAACATCAAAGTATCGAGCTGAAACACGGAGAACAACTACAACCATCTTCAATAAGATACAAGTATTTATAAATAGTTGTCTACTCAAAGTACTCAATATCCGTTGGCCGGATACTATCAGCAACAGCCTACTGTGGGAGAGAAAAAACCAACTTCCAACTAAAAAGTGGAAAAGTGGAAGGCCAACGAACACATTACGTCGGGAAAGGAAATCAGATATGAAAAGGATGAATAAGAGCTGGTAATGATTGCCCAGAATAGGGTTGGATGCAGTGTGTTGGTGGGTGGCCTATGCTTCTCCATGAGGAGTAACGGGCGTAAGTAACTATGTAAGTAACTTTCAAATATATGGATGTTTATACTATTTTCACTGTTGCATATATTGTAAATGTGATGTCCTCTGTCTATATTTTCCATTCACCAACTGCTACATAGTTTGACATAACGGATTAGTTAGAACACAAATTCACAGATGATCGTGTATTAAGAACAAAAAAGAAAGCGACTTAACACAAGATTTCATTATAAGCAAAAATGGGTGGTGGCTAGTAGTGGAATCCAGAACGCACATTTCTTCTTACTTAGGACTCGTCAGCTGAATATATCTGCATCCCAGAGTTGATGGTCACTCCGGGACTCGAACTCAGTACCATTCGATTGAAACGCTATGGCATAATCCATTTAGCATCAACTCTGAGATGAAGGTAATATCCAGATGGAAAATCCCAAATAAGACGAAACGTACGTCAATCTGGATGATCTATACTTCATAGATGATCTGGTCCTTCTATCCCAAACGCAACAACAAATGCAGGAGAAGACGACCAGTGTAGCAGCAGCCTCAGCAGCAGTAGGTCTCAATATACACAAAGGGAAAGGCAAGATAATCCGATACAACACAGCTTGCACCAATCCAGTCACAATTGACGGAGACGATTTGGATGATGTAAAAACCTTTACATATTCGGGCAGCATCAATGATGAACATGGTGGGTAAAGCAAGAGCAGCATATTTACAACTGAAGAACATCTGGAACTCAAAACAGTTGTCAAACAACACTAAAGTTATAATTTACAATACAAATGTCAAGATAGTTCAACTGTACGGAGCTGAAACTTGGAAAACTACCAAAACCATCATCCAGAAGATACAAGTGTTTATTAACAGTTCTCTACGCAAAATACTTCAGATCCGTTGGCCGGACACTATTAGCAACAACCAACTGTGTGAAAGAACAAACCAGATCCCATCGGAGGGGGAAATTAGGAAGAAGAGCTGGGAGTGGACAGGACACACAGATTGAGGAAACCACCCAACTGCGTCACAAGACAAGCCCTCACATAGAATCCTCAAGGACAAAGGAGGTGAAGAGGAAGACCAAAGAACACATTACGCCGAAAAATAGAGATAGACATGAGAAAAATGAACAAGAATTGGGTAGAATTAGAAAAGAAGGCCCAGGACAGAGTGGGTTGAAAAATGCTAGTCGGCGGCCTATGCTCCATTGTGAGTAACAGGCTTAAGTAAGTAAGTAAGTAAGTAAGTAAGTAAGTAAGTAAGTAAGTAAGTAAGTAAGTAAGTAAGTAAGTAAGTAAGTAAGTAAGTAAGTAAGTAAGTAAGTAAGTAAGTAAGTAAGTAAGTAAGTAAGTAAGTAAGTAAGTAAGTAAGTAAGTAAGTAAGTAAGTAAGTAAGTAAGTAAGTAAGTAAGTAAGTAAGTAAGTAAGTAAGTAAGTAAGTAAGTAAGTAAGTAAGTAAGTAAGTAAGTAAGTAAGTAAGTAAGTAAGTAAGTAAGTAAGTAAGTAAGTAAGTAAGTAAGTAAGTAAGTAAGTAAGTAAGTAAGTAAGTAAGTAAGTAAGTAAGTAAGTAAGTAAGTAAGTAAGTAAGTAAGTAAGTAAGTAAGTAAGTAAGTAAGTAAGTAAGTAAGTAAGTAAGTAAGTAAGTAAGTAAGTAAGTAAGTAAGTAAGTAAGTAAGTAAGTAAGTAAGTAAGTAAGTAAGTAAGTAAGTAAGTAAGTAAGTAAGTAAGTAAGTAAGTAAGTAAGTAAGTAAGTAAGTAAGTAAGTAAGTAAGTAAGTAAGTAAGTAAGTAAGTAAGTAAGTAAGTAAGTAAGTAAGTAAGTAAGTAAGTAAGTAAGTAAGTAAGTAAGTAAGTAAGTAAGTAAGTAAGTAAGTAAGTAAGTAGTAAGTAAGTAAGTAAGTAAGTAAGTAAGTAAGTAAGTAAGTAAGTAAGTAAGTAAGTAAGTAAGTAAGTAAGTAAGTAAGTAAGTAAGTAAGTAAGTAAGTAAGTAAGTAAGTAAGTAAGTAAGTAAGTAAGTAAGTAAGTAAGTAAGTAAGTAAGTAAGTAAGTAAGTAAGTAAGTAAGTAAGTAAGTAAGTAAGTAAGTAAGTAAGTAAGTAAGTAAGTAAGTAAGTAAGTAAGTAAGTAAGTAAGTAAGTAAGTAAGTAAGTAAGTAAGTAAGTAAGTAAGTAAGTAAGTAAGTAAGTAAGTAAGTAAGTAAGTAAGTAAGTAAGTAAGTAAGTAAGTAAGTAAGTAAGTAAGTAAGTAAGTAAGTAAGTAAGTAAGTAAGTAAGTAAGTAAGTAAGTAAGTAAGTAAGTAAGTAAGTAAGTAAGTAAGTAAGTAAGTAAGTAAGTAAGTAAGTAAGTAAGTAAGTAAGTAAGTAAGTAAGTAAGTAAGTAAGTAAGTAAGTAAGTAAGTAAGTAAGTAAGTAAGTAAGTAAGTAAGTAAGTAAGTAAGTAAGTAAGTAAGTAAGTAAGTAAGTAAGTAAGTAAGTAAGTAAGTAAGTAAGTAAGTAAGTAAGTAAGTAAGTAAGTAAGTAAGTAAGTAGTAAGTAAGTAAGTAAGTAAGTAAGTAAGTAAGTAAGTAAGTAAGTAAGTAAGTAAGTAAGTAAGTAAGTAAGTAAGTAAGTAAGTAAGTAAGTAAGTAAGTAAGTAAGTAAGTAAGTAAGTAAGTAAGTAAGTAAGTAAGTAAGTAAGTAAGTAAGTAAGTAAGTAAGTAAGTAAGTAAGTAAGTAAGTAAGTAAGTAAGTAAGTAAGTAAGTAAGTAAGTAAGTAAGTAAGTAAGTAGTAAGTAAGTAAGTAAGTAAGTAAGTAAGTAAGTAAGTAAGTAAGTAAGTAAGTAAGTAAGTAAGTAAGTAAGTAAGTAAGTAAGTAAGTAAGTAAGTAAGTAAGTAAGTAAGTAAGTAAGTAAGTAAGTAAGTAAGTAAGTAAGTAAGTAAGTAAGTAAGTAAGTAAGTAAGTAAGTAAGTAAGTAATTATCCTCGCTTATAAAGCTTGTGACTTAAGACAATATCGATGTAATCCACACACTGGAAGTACATATACCAACAAGAGATTGATCAATTATAGTCTTAGAACAACAATGGTAAGAGACTATCAAACAATCACAAATGAATGTACAACATTTCATTTCTTATCTTTTCAGATAAGCGATAAAAACCATAGGATAATAAATGTATATTCAAATATGGATCATTTACAAAATATGCCAAGATTACAAACCTTTCAAATTGTGGTAAAAGAAACATTCAGTTAAGTGTTATACAGATGGGAACAGAAAATGTACCAAGCAACAAATACATTTAAAACAGATAGAATGAATAATTTGTTTTTTGCCTTTTTTTTTCTTTCTTTTCTGTAACTCACGTCAATGGAGATGAATGTTGGGAAACTTCTAAGTGTTATATTCAATTTAGATACTAAAAAAAAACCAAACCGAAGCAGAACGAAGCAAAGCCGATACATGATGATACTGTTTCCTTTGAAATGATAAAAAATTATTCATTCTGAATTCTTACGTAATGTAACTTAAATCTAAATGTTGGTAGAAGTAATGAATAAATATCTTATTGATTGAAATCATGAGTCAATTGAAGGTAGACTACCATGGAAAACCTGGAAGAACTGGACGACCGTTTCGTCCTAGCATGGGACTCCTCAACAGTGTGCATCCGTGATCCCACACCCTGCGAGATTCGAACCCACGACCTATCAGTCTCGCACAATCGCTGAAATTTCTAAAATCTCTACAAAACCTCTTCGAATAAATATCTATTCATTTTAAACTATAAATCATATATCTCGTTGATTGTTATATCGGAATAGTTCATTATTACTTATACTTGTAAAGTG